GGTGCTGGGGGATTGAACCGCGGTCCCTGTGCTTTGCTAAGCTTGTTCTAAGTAGGTGCTTTAGACCACTGAGCCATCTCACCAGCCCACTTTCTTTATTTTAAAGCATTAACTTTTTTTATTTTGGTACCGGGAGTTGAACTTAGGACCTCATGCTTGCCAGGCAGGTGCTGTACCACTGAGCTTTATCTCCAGCCCTTTTTTTTTGGTATTAGGAATCAAACTCAGGACCTTGCTCTTGTCAGACAGGTACTTAGGCCACTGAACTATCTCCCCAGCCCACGTATTAACTTTTTAATGACTCCAGGAAGTTGTCTTAGAGGAGGTCTGAAGGTCTCACTTCAGGGTTATCTGTTTCCTGTGATCTTATTTGTCTTGTAGCTCCTGTACTTTTAAAAATTGCAAATTAGTACTAGAGCCTTGATTCAACTGGTGGGGGGAAGGAAATGCCTTTTAAAAACGTTCATTTATTTATTGTTTGAGGTAGGGTCTTTCTCCATAGTCCCGGCTGGACTTGAGCTTGTAGTGAGTGCTGGACACAAGGCACTCACCCCCCTGCCACCTGGGGGAGGGCACTGAATTTATTGGTAAAATCTGCACAACATGCATTTACTACCCCAGCCATTTTGAAGTGTGTGATACAGTGGCATTGAATACATTCTCACTGTCATGCAACTGTCACCTCCAGAACTTGGCATCTTGTAGTACTGGCTCTGTCCTATCAGACTGCTGCCCCTCCTCCTCTGCAGCCTGGGACAACCAGGCTCATTTACACCTGTGTGGATTTGATGGCTCTAGGGAGCTCAGCAGTAGGCTCAGTTTGTCCTTTGTGGCTGGCCCTGGGGACAAGAGGTCCTACAGACAGGCTGTACCTTCATTGTGCATCCTCTGTGGGGGCTTGTGGGCCACTGGGGGGGGTGCTGCCTGCCGGACTTCCCTGTCTGGCAGCCCTAGTCGGCTGCCCCTTCACCCCACCAGGGATTTGCCTCTCCATTCGTGTCTGGGCTTCCTTCCCACCTTGCGGGCTCAGCTTCCCTGTCGCCACAGCTCACAAGCCCCTTCCGGACCAGCCCATCAGAACTGCTTCCCCTCTGTCTGCCTGCGCTTCCCTGTTTCATTTTCTCTGTGACCCTCATCACAGCCACAGTCCCCTGGCGCGGGTTGGTGCTTCCTGTTACCTGTCTAGAAGGCGGGTGTCTGGAAGGCGGGGACCTCTGCTGTCCTGTTCGGGACTGCGTCACCAGCTCTTGGCAGTGGCACCCAGCACGCAGCAGATTCTTGTCTCAGTCTCCTTTCACTTCTGTGACAAACTACACAAATGCAGTGGCTTCAAGCAAGCCATGTTTCTGGTGCCATAGTTCAGGAGGCCTGAAGTCTGAAACCAGTCTTGTGGAATGGTGGGGTCGGCTGACCGGGCGGCTTCTGGAGACCCCAGGGGAGGCTCTGCTTCCTCATCTTCTCCAGCCTTCTCTAGCCTGCGTACCTGGGCTCGTAGCCCTGTGTCACTTGGGCCTCTACCTGTCATCCTGTCTCCTCTCTGCACCGGGACCTCTTCCCTGTTATAGGATCCTTGACTTAATGGCACCTACGAAGACCTTTTCCCCGTGAAAGGTTTTGGGGTTAGGATGCAGACATTTCCAGAGGCCATTAGTCTGATCATAGGCTCAGTAAATAGTTTGTTGATTGAATAAATAATGAATGAGGGGCTGGGGAGATAGCTCAGTGTCATAAGCGCTTGCCTGGCAAGTACAAGGTCCTGAGTTAAATCCCCCGTAATACAAAAATAAATAAATAAATAAATAAAATAATGGATGAGTGGGTCTCTTTAATAATGGAATCCTAAGCTTCAGGTTCAGGTCTGGCTCAGGAATCGTGTGGCTATGTGACCTTGGACAATTCCCTTCTGGCTCCAAGCCTCAGTTTCCCCATTCATTATTTGTATTCTAAACACCCACCATTTGCCTGATTCTTGGAAGGCTCGTAGGAATGCCAAAAAA